ACTTAGCTTGACAATGCAATCACAAACAGGCAATTCTGGAAAACTTACTGATCTTCAAACATTACAGAATCACTTTCATTAGAAGTATTTCTAAGTGTTAACAAATATACTACTAAAACAAATAGGTAAACGCCAATGTTTTAGTAGAGATACCGAAAAAATGCCAGGATTGTCTGGTGACAACTTATCCTTGCATATTTCCTAAATAAAATAGCACCTGTATTTGAAAATTTAACATTTAAGTAATAACCATGACTTTGTATAACTTTAATCATAAGCTTAAGAAAGCCAAATTTATCTGGTGATGTTATAAATAACTCTTAGGCCATATATGTATAAGGCAAGTATTTTACAAGTTCATGTCTCAAACAGGTTGAGTTTTATATTTTCGTGACTGGCAAGAAAGTCATAATCAGATTCAACTCATTTCACACTTCCTCACATGCTCAGGTTTAGCTGTTACCACCAAGGAGCTTACAGGGATAAATCAGACGCGGACTGTACCGTACCAAGTGCTCAATATTTTGATTTCAATCTGAAATTAGCTAACACGTATGTAGAGTTTGATCATTTATAAAGCACTATTACGTACGCTGTCTCACTGGAGTCCCTAACAACTCTTCCAACTCCTCGTCCTTATCTCACCTGATGGACAGAGATGAGATCAGTCAGGAAGTGGAGTTAGGACCTGGATGGCCCAGTGCACGCTGGAGGCCGAGATACAGAAATAACTCAACACTAAGAGGCTGGTGATGTGGGAAAGCAGGAAAGGTTGTGATGGTTAGCTCCAGGGTGGAAGATTTTGAGTCCTTCTTGGAGAAGGCAGTGTATGTTGGTCAGACATGGATAAAATGCACCAGCTGAGCAAAAAGCATAAGGGGGTCGGGAACTAAGAGAAGAGCTGAAAGAACGTGGGAGCTTGAGGGATCGATGACTGGAGTACCGGGCATGTTTGAAAGTGAGACAGGAGGGCTAGGGAAAGTTCAAAGGTAGACAAAGATCGAAAGGAATAAAATTATAAACGATTTTGAAAGTCAAGATGAAGAATTAATAGCCAGTCATAAAATGGGGGAGGCCACACTATGGAAGCACTGACCCTTTCCTTTTCCACGGTGATTCTCTCCTTGTCAAGTAAGAAGCAGCCCCCAGGACTGATGTCTGTCTGGGGTGATGAAAAAGTACTGGAGAAAGATAGTGGAGAGGGCTGCACAACA